TGTTGTGCTCAGTTTTTTTCTATGAAGCAACAGAAAAACCACAAACACCCCACTACTGTTTGTGACATACACTGTTGCTGCAGCTAAGCGCTGGTGTGTGGGAGGCTGCACGAACTGCCTTCCACCATCCTTAGAAAATAAGCGGCTTTTCTCTATCCCCACTTCGCAAAGAGCTTAGACGCCAGAGGAAAGAATTTCATTCCACTGTAAGGCAGGATTCCTTATCAACAACAGTAACAACCAGCTATCAAATGTGAAGTCTAAGAACCAAGCGGCATGTGCCTGAAGAGGAAGGATACCTGTATAAAATGACCACGTGGAAACATCTCAGAAAGGCTGCCTTTTACACACTATACCAGTAACTAGGAAGCAGAGATCAGAGGGGTTAACTAATTTGCCTAGGCTTAAGAATTGATAAATCTGAGGTAAGTCACTGGAAGGTCAAACATTTTATCTGGAATTCTGCAAAATGGAGAAGGTAGTCCAAAATGTGAGTGGTAATTTTCAGCTACATGTTAGACAGATAATTCCCAGGAAGTGCTACTGGCATGGGTTCCCATAGCATGTAGGCTTATCCAAATTACTGGAAGATGTCACCTGGTCCTCCATTAATGATTGTGTACCCAGTACAAGCTCATTGATTGTTGTTCAGACTGTTTAGCTTGGCAGGGCACTATGATGAGAAATTGTTTTATTACTTTGTGTGTGTATAGGCACAAATGTTGCATGACACACATCTGGTGGTCAGAGGACAACTTGCAGGAATCGGTTCTTACCTTCCGCGTGGGTCCTAGGGGCCAGACTTAAATCATCAGATTTAGTGTCACGGGCTTTTTTTTTTTTTTTTTTTTTTTTTAATACCTCTGAGCCACCTTGCAGGCCCCTGTGTCAGGCTGTTAAGCAGTCTTTTCACCCATAGGGGGAACTGATGATTGCCTCTCCTGTAAATGAGAAATAAAAAGCAATATGTATCTATATCTGTGTGTGTGTTATCATGCTAAGTGACCACCCAGCTCAAGAATCACGTGATCAGTTGGCATGCTGGCATTCTTAGGCTTTCTGTTGTCACTTGTCAGCTCTAGAAATTGGCCTCTGCAAGCGTGGAGATCCTGCCTGAATTTCTTAAAGTGCACAAGAGCAAATTATTCAGGCAAAGGGGCTGAGGAAAATAGTATGAGCAAATGAGAAGTTTTCATAGCAAGATTGCCCAATGGGAGGCTAATCTGGGACCATACAGCACATCTGCCTTCCGGTGATCTACTGCTCAATGAATACCGGCTGGGAGAAACGCATGTGCTCCAGTTTAGTCTGTGTACTTGTGATTTTCATTCATGGTGGTGTCTGACAGAGATCATGCTTTGGAATGCCAGCCAAGTTCATGTGTAGTAAGATACATCATTTGTGTGCAGAGAGTGTGTGCAGGGAAGACAGTGCTTTCCTGGTTGAGAACGGAAAGGCTACAGGGTTGCCAGGCAAAGGGATTCTTACCTTTCCTATTGAAGTGAAAACCTAAATTGGTGTGACAAAGCCACCAACCTTTGAAATATCTGGGAGGCATTGACTATGATTTTCTTCTCTCTGATTCATTTGAGTCTGTCAATTCGGTGTAAGTAGGGCTGGGGCTTCTGCATGCTGAGGGGATTGAATGGGGAGATGAGTAAGTGCCTTGCTCTCAGTTGCAAATGTTTGCTGTAGGAATGTCAACATGTGTGATCGGATGACATTCAGAGGGCTTGCAGTGCATTTTTGTCACAGCTAGCACAGCAGTTTAATCTGACCAAACAGATGAGCTGAACCTTGCTCTGAAGAGACCCTATCAGCCCCCATCTGTGAAGTTCCTGGAGACACTTATTCTGATTCTTTAAGCCTACATTGCCCACAGGGGCTAAGCACATCATGGTGGAACAGAGGTGTAGGGGAATGGCCCATCGTAGACAGACAAGTGAGTCTATGTGAGCCCATTCATTCTTAGCTTTGTGGCCTCTGTTAAATTTGTGCAGTCAGTTTGGGTTTAGATAGCCTTGAGATCTGAAGGACCTGAACTTATGCAAGACTGAAGAAGACCAAGGGTACCAAAGCCTGACTCAGGCCCCCAGCCCTAACCCAGCAATACTAGCTGCCTGAGTCTGCACTACCATTAGTTGCTGCCCTTCCCCAGCCAGGCCATGGTGTTAAGGCAGGGATGATACTTCTAGCTCCTCCCCCTATCATGAGCATACAATCAGACCCCCCTGTATATAATTTAAAGCATTACTGGAGCCCTTTATAAGCATTTTTATACTGTCTGATCCCACTTTCCACTTTAATTCCTGGCCAGAGCACAGCAGCAGTGGTCACATCCCTACTTGATTCAGGTAGTGTTACTTAGTTTCCCTAGATAGCCTGCCCAGGGCCTTCAGAATCTTACATAGAACTGATAGGCATATCACCCATCTTTAAGACAGACTGAAGATGACTTTGTTGTTTTGCATCTGTGTGGGTGCACATGTGTGCACATGTATGTGAGGGTCAGAGGTTCATGTCATGTGTCTTTCTCAGCCACTCTCCATCTTATTCCTCTATTGAGACATACCCTTCCATACCCAACACTCATCAATTCAGCCGGTCTGGACAGCCAGCTTGCTCTGGAGGCTCGCCTGTCTCTGCCTCCCAAGCACTGGAATTGCAGGCTGGCTGCTGTGTCTATCAGGCTTTTAGGAGGGTGCTAGAGATCTGTTCCAGTCCTCTACTTGCAAGGCAGATGGTCTACCCATTGAACTTCTATGCTCTGAAAATGGTTCTCAAAAGACCCAGGTTGAAGATGAGTGATGTTACTCAGTCTGCCTCAAGTGCTTCTGATGCTGACACACACTGAGCTGGGGCATGGGGGTTGTTAAAGAGGTCTACTTGTGTCATTTCAGTGATAGTTTGAAGTGGCGCAGGGGCAGAAGGCAGCTCCTGGTTGGCTATCTGTATTTCACAGATAAATTCTGTTTAATAGGTAGACTGAGTAGGGTCACCTGATTAATTATTCTCTTTCTCACAGGTCAGGGTGTAGACAGCCAGTTCTCATTATAGGCTAGTTCATGCATGTGGGAAAACCCAGGTTAGAATTGTGGGCCGATAGCACATTTTAGATGCCTTTCTGTTCGCCACATGTCTGCAAAGCATTGAGCATAACCCTACTGGTGCTGCAGACTGCCTTTCCCATGACTTTACTGCAGATATTAAGAAGAAAGCTCAATAAGGGGCCTTAGCTATATGCCTCAAGGAAGTCAAGCAAGACAAGCCTGGAAATGGGACTTTTATTAACACAACTCTAAACATCCTAAGTTGCAGTAGGCCTCCAGATGATTTTGGACAACCTCTAAATTTGGTCAGGAGAGATACCTCAGTGGTTAAGAGTGCTTACTGCTCTTCCAAAAGGACCTGAGTTTGGTTCCTGGACTGTGGTGATTCCACCTGTGATAATAGCTACCAGGAACCCGATGCCCTCTGTAGGCACTGCTGTCACATGCACAAACCTGCACACGTACACAACTAAATCTTGAGTGGACAAGCATGTGGTGCAATGCTAAAAATGCTAAAAAAAAAAAAAAAAAAAAATACATAGGGAAAGGGCCTTCCTTCTAGAATAGCTGAAGTCACCCACAACACTTGTATTCATCTTCTTGGAAGAGGGTTAGAAGACTGCATAGTTTATAATGAGTTTTTATCCAGGAACTTCGTGTATTTGAATATGGCATTGCATCAAGTTCAAAGTTACAGAAAATATCCCTGGATGTGATATTTCATGTGTGTGTGTGTTTATGGCATATGCCCTTCAGCAGAGTCGTTGGATGCGACCATTACTTTGTGGGAGGCACAAAGCTACCTAGACAAATACCTGCATAAAATGAGGTTGACTAGGACACTCACTATTCTGTGTGCATATATAACTTGTAGATAACATGTTATGGTGATAACCAGTGGCGAAAACTGTGCAATGTAAATGTAACACAATGGAGCATTCTAGATAAATGGGGCCATCACCATCATTGAAGATCAGCCTTGAACTCTGTGATTCCATACATAAGTCCTATTAAAGAGATGAGTTAAATGTGGCATTTTTATTTATTTATTTATTTATTTTTGCCCATGTATTTAGACTATTCTGCATATTTTTGTTCTTAACTATGCTTCTTCTGACTCTACTGGAAATACAGTGTGTTTATTTAGAGATGAATAGATGCCTAGCCAGGACTTAGAAGTCCGATGTCATATCTTAATCATTTGGTTTTCCAGAGGCAAGCAGCTTTAAATAATCAATTGTATAAAAATACACGCAATGCTGCACCAAAAAATAAAAATCAATTTCCATCATAAAAAAAATTCAGAAGCAATTTCTCCTGTTTGGCAAAATTCATCATTATTAAATTCAGACAGGATATTAACTTTATGGCTGAAAGGTTTGGCTTACAAAGATGAACTAATTTTAAACACATGGCAACTACATTAATTCTTTTAAAGGATGAGTAAGGAGCCCTTCCTATCATATGTAACTTATTAATATTTTGAATTGAATCATTTTCCTAAGTAGACCTGACTTTTTAGGGGTGTATTTTTCTCTACCAGTCAAGAGCCACATGCTCAGCCAAGACAGATTTACAACCTTTTAAAAATAATGATGGAAAATGAGATGGGGTGGGAGGGGACACATTTTAGTATCTGCTTTGCTCTGAGGTCCAAACTGCGAACTCTCCAGTTCTGGAAGCCTTTGAAATGCTGATTCCAGTCTTCTTGTGGGCTCTTAAACACCTTCTCAAATGACCCATTTTAATAACCCGAAAGCTATTATATAACGAGCAGCCATAATTTAGTCCAGGGCTCTAGGGGGACCCTCACAGTTCAGCAATGAATAGTTAATGCAGGATAATGTTTAGCAGGTTATTAGTTTTCACTATACAAATGCTGATCGGGGAGTGCTTTTATAAGGTGTTTAAAAGAAAATGTAATTAACTGGTTGCATGCTTCTGTTGCAGCTCAAATTGAAATTATTCCATGCAAGATCTGTGGAGACAAATCGTCAGGAATCCATTATGGTGTCATTACGTGTGAAGGCTGCAAGGTAAGCTGTTTTAATTGTTGTTGTTGTTTCTATTTATGTTACAGGGCATCTTTGCCATTTCTATTTTTCACTTCCAGTCTGCCAAAAAATTCAACTCCTTGAGATTCTGAGTGATGATGACAGGGCACGGTCAGTAATGTGATGTTCAATTATAATTACTGCAGTTACAAATGCTTTACTCCTTCCTTCCTTCCTTCAATGTGGGACCAGAATCCATTGCACTGATGAGACACCTCTAGGGCTTATAGCATTCCATATGCAGGGATGAGGACCTGAATTCAAATCCCTGGTGCCTGTGTGAGAAATCCAGGAGTGGCCACTGATGCCTATTTCCCCAGCTTTCTGGGGCAGAGATCTCAGAAGCTTACTGGCCAACTAGCCTCGCTGCAACAGTGATGTCAAGATTCAGTGTGAGACCCTGTCTCAAGAGAACAAGGCAGGGAACTGCAGATAAGGACACTGACATCCTATTCTGGCCTCCATTGGTGCAAGTTCATGCTCCTCCCACCCCCATACACACACACACACACACACACACACACACACACACATACACACACACACACAGACCTCCTTTTACTTAGTCTTAGCGGATGTATGAAAAGGTAATTTCAGAAAAGTTTCACATTGGTGTGACTATGTCTTTCTGTTGGTATCCAGATGTTAGTACACCTGGCCAGATTATAGAACTGAGCTCTACTCCTGGTACCACTTGCCCACCTTGTTTGGGACACATCTCAGCCTTTTAATGACCTGCCCTTCTTGCCTGGGGACTATTCCAAGAATAAGAGACACTTTTAAATACAAGCCCATAGTACAGAAAAGAGTCATTTGAATAAATAGCATCTTCATTATTGCTACTGTAACCATTTGTATGATGAGAACTTGGGGCCAGGGACACAGAACAGGCTTACTATGAGAATGGAAGATAGAGATGCTTAGTCATTCCATGACCACGCCCAACTTATGCAAATTTCCATTGATTAAGATTTAAATTCTTCTGCTTGTATGAGAAGTTCTGAGACATGGTTAAAATTATAGCACAAAGTGAGTAAGAGAAATGTTATTTAATGCAAATATCCTAGGAGGCAGCTACAGCCAGACAGACTCAAATTAGCTCTGAGGCTTTTAAAGATTGGGGTGGGGGGGAATCTGTGAATTTGGTTTACATTCCTTTAGTGAAAACAAGAATTATTGTGCATAATATAGAAAATCATCCGTAGACATACTAATGGCTGAGGGGGAGATTAGCCTCATAATTTTTAAAAGTCTTCCTCTCACTGCTAATCATAACATTGTTTGCCAATATACATATATGCAAATACAGCATCTAGACTGCAGGTTAGTGAGGCTGGATTTTTTTTTTTTTAGTTATTACATGTATTTGTTTGGGGCAGGAAGGTGGTATGCGGGTGTTATGGCATGCATATGGGGGGTGGGTCAGCAGACAACTCGAAGAAGTCAGTTCTCTCTCTGCCATGTGGGTTCATGAAATCAGGTCATCGATGTTGGTGGCAAGTCCCTTTACCCGCTAAACCACCTCACTTGTCCAAAGCTTGGGACTTTTGCCTATCACCAAATCCTTTGTAGTTTAAAAGGTCAACCACCTTGTAGAAGTGGGGAACTTGTTACTTGAGGGGAATTTTGAATTATTCATCTGTGTGGTAAAGGCCTCACGGTACAGGATTTATTTAAAAAACAACAACAACAAAAAAACCCTATACCCTTTTCTTTTTTAATCTGACCTCTCTGAAATAAATTCTCTCAAAAATGAAATAATTGTAACTGGAGAGAAGCTTTAGTGTGTAATGTTGCTTGCTTTTCGAGTAGGAGGACCTAGCTTCTATGTTTAAAAATAATCAAAAGGCTGTTGGTGGCTGTGTGTTCTGTGACCCAGGCGCTGGTGAAGCAGATACTGAGAGCTCACTGGCCAGCCACCCTAACAGAAAGCATGAGCTTCAAGTTCAGTGAGAGTCTTTGTCTCAGGCAATCAGAGAACAGAGGAAGACCCCCAATGTCCTCTGCATGTCCCCTGCTACCCACACTGGAAAAGAAAGTTGACATTCTAACCTAGCTATGCAAATGACCTGTCTGCGACTGCTGCCTCAACTTCAGCTCTGAGTCCCCAGAGCTGTGTGCTTTTGGTAGGAGTACTAGGGCCTCTCTCATCCCTACAGCATCTCTCACCCATCAGTGTTTGCTCTGTTGTGGTCTTCAGCAAATCTGACTTTTGCGTATGGCCCAGGCATTTTACCACCTAGGTTCTTTCATTCTGCCCAAGAAACTCAACACTTCCTCTGTCTGTCAGCTGTGCCCCTGTGTTCTATGTGTTAAACTGACTGACATACAACATTTGGAAATATAAAATCCAGGGTGACTTCTGTGCTATGCCTTAGCAATCTGGAAGGCTCACTAATACCAGGCTATTCAGGAAACCCTGAATTGCCAGAGTACCAGTGCATTTACACATGCATACGATACATTTTAAGGCCCAGTGTTTATTCTGGAGAAAATAAATACAAGCAGTAAGGCTAATAGCAGTTAAGATCCTATTATTTGGAATCCCTTCCAAATCCTGTCCATGTGACACCTCTGTTCTGTAATGGCTTTCAGCTGTTGGTTCTGTTCCTTGCTCAGGTGACTTCCCACAACGAAGGCCACTAAACCACTGAAGTGTGATTTATTCGGTGTCAGACCATACACTTTTGAGAGAGATGGTATCCATTCTGTATTGTAGTTTCTGACTATAACAATTTTATCCCTGGTTACAGGGAAGTCAAGAGACTTGTGCCATTGTCATCAGTTATCAAATCTTAAGCAGGTGGAGGTGATCCCACCATGACTATTTTCTTTCTGGCAATATAATTAGACATAGAAGGGAAAACCACATTACATATCAAATAGTTATGTAATGGGGGTGGTGTTTTATATGCATACATATAAATCGTAAAATAGATCTTTATGTCATACTGTATTTACCATGTGTTATTCATTTATCTGAGATTTATTCATTAATGACTTATAGCTAGGATGGTGTCCCATGTGAAACTTCCTCTTCCAGCCAATATCAGGGAAATTTACAGTCATCATCTCATAAACACATTCTCACAAAATAACTTTAGGAAGGTTTTTTAATAAATGTAGAGTATATAACAGACATTTTTCTCCCCTTTTCGCCCCTCTGAGGAAATTTTCAAAGTACGTGGAGCTTTGTATGTGCTTGGCTGGCAAGAAACTTGACGAATGTTCCCTTTAGGCCCAAATAGCTCTTCATGAATTCTATTTGTTACTCTGTTGTAAAGAGTCCCTATGACCTGGGAGCTGGTTCTGTCTAGTTTTCAACATTAATGTTTTTTCATACTCAATATTTTGTATTTCTAATGCTTTAAAACGTGTAGTCCTGGATCAGAGCTCAGCCTTTTAAAATGAAAATTAGATTTGGGGAAGGAAACTGTTACTTCAGCCATCAACGTTTTCCATTCTGCCATGTATTGGTAATGAGGTGGATGGAATACTTCTGGTTGAGTATCCAGCACCACAAAAACAAGAGACCTGGGTAAGCTTCAGGTCAGAGCTCATTGGTACACACAGTTTCATAAGGAGGTGGGCCATTATCTATGGAAGCAAGTTTCCATGGGAAGGGGACCTGTACACCAGCTAACTGGGGCATATGAGGCTGTCTAAAGAACCTGAACTTCAAACCAGGAGGTGGTAGAGAACACCTTTAATCCCAGCACACACTCGGAAGGCAGAGGCAGGTGGATCTCTGAGTTAAAGGCCAGCCTGGTCTATGGAGACACTTTCTTTGCGGCCTCTTCTCCATGACTGTCACTGACAGTTAACATCTTTCCTCCATTACCCAGCTTCTCCCCACACTCATCCTCGCCTTTCTGAACATTTCCAAAAGAAAGTTTCCAGGATAAATCAAATTGGGACATAAGGCATTTTTTTTACATAGAGGAGTCGACTCTTTCCAGCCCCAGAAATGTATCAAAGGGCAGACATAGAACCCCCTTGTAAAGTCTCCTGGATTTCCAATTCTTCATTGAATTCCAAAACGCAATGCTTTGGGCAGGCGTAGGAACACTCACGATAACTCAGAGTCATGAATAAATCTTGGTTGTCAAAAAGCAAATGTGTAGCCATTCCAAAGAGTCTGCCATTAGAATTCCGCAAGGCAGCTGTCAGCTGTTTTCTTGTAATTAAACAGCCAATGAGCAGCTAATTAAGACATATGTGTACACAGAAGGGGAAGTGGGTATGTTAATGAACTGTAGGAATCAATTCATTACGTGAAAATTGTCAAAAGACCAAACATCAGATCAGTATTGCAGCCTGTGCTTCATAGAGAAGAGCCCCAAGTAGGAGGGGACACCCCACCCCAAGAGCATGACTCCTGAGTACCTCAGTGTCTGGCCAGCCCTCATGCTTGGGCAAAGCCATTAATAACCCTTGTATTTCAAAGATTTTTATGAGGTAGATATAGCAAAATAGCTTCCGCAGCTATGTAGAGACGAAGCATTTGAGGCCCTGTATCTTCCTTGATTTGATTGTTATCAGTAACTTTCACTACAGATCTGAAAAGCAGGCAGGGGCCTTGTATTTTTTCAGTCTTCTCTCCATATTTCTGTGACCTGGGTCTTCATCAGTGAAGTGCTTGCTATTTGATTCCTAGTAACACATGCCTGTACTCCTAGGAGAGACAGATGGGAGAGGCCAGCCTAACCTAACTGGTGACCCCTGGGGCCCAATGACAAACCCTTGCCTTGAAGGGAGGGAGAGGAGAGGAGAAAGACAGCTCTTGAAGATGATACCCAAGGTTGACCTTTGGCACACCCAAATCTGGCACCTCCTGTCATCTGTTTGCTGTAATGTCTTGAACATGTAGCAAAAATCTCTCTGAACTTTAAATGTGTCGTCCCAAAAACAGATATGCAAATTGCCACTTTACATACAGTTAACGAAGTGTCCTACACAGCACCTAGAAGCATGTTCAGAAT